TCCAGACTCCTTATCTAGTATGTCACCAGAACATATCTTTCTGCATCTCTGTACCCACTGTCCTCTATCTGTCCATCTCAAGAGCTCTACTCCCAGAACCAATCTTGGAACTGGCATGGACCCCAGACTAGGCCAAGGGCCACCTTGGCCAGCTTGAGCCTGTAGGTATTAGGACTCATGTCACCCTGGGCCTTCTGATGCCTGGGGAAACAATATGACAGCAGCTACTCTGTGCTGGCTCTGCCACACACCACTCCTCTCGTGTCTCCAAGGATACAGACTGTGGCTCTCCTATCAAAGGACCTTTTTTGCTCACAGGGTCGAGCAGCCTTCTGCTTAGGGTAGTGGAGTAGGCCTCCACAAGCCTGTGTCCAGCGCAGCACCAGAGATTGTGCGATCCAGGTGCTAGTCTCAGTCCTCCTCTAAAGGACCTCACCCACTCCTTGTCCCGGGAGCTCCACTCTCTAATCCATGTATCTGGCAAATCTCCAGGCCTCCCTGTCCTCTCTGGCCCCACTGTGGCTGGGGAAACCTCGGGGGGGGGGGCTTGTCAGCAACCATGAGGACACGCTCAGTGACCCACAGAGCACTCCCATTGTCTGCAGGGGAACAGGCATCTGTTTGTCTTTTCTTTTTTCTTTCTTTGTGGAACCAGGGATTGAGCTCAGGCCCTTGCACTTGCCAGGGAAGCGCTTATTCCACTGAGCCATCTCCCCGGCCCGTTTGTCTTTTCTATGGTGATGAAGCCTTCTGTCACCACAGCCCACCATGTGCAGGCACTCGAGCTGGTGTTTTTCAAACCCAAGTGTGACATTGTCTCACAAACTCTTCCGCATTAGGTTCCTCTGAATCCCTGGTCCGCAGTATCTCACTCACGGCACTGGTAGAGACGTTAGGCAGTTGAGCCTAATTCATCATCCAGGCTGCCACCGAAGAGCCCTGCCCCAGTCCAAGCCTCTCCCAAGATGGTGTGCGCACTGGGTCAGCAGGGGAGGTGGCACAGTGATCCAGGGTCCCTTCACACACACCCTGGATACTGGACTTTGGCCCAGCAAGGTTCTCTTTCCACTCACTTTCCCAGATCAAGGGTACCTGGATCACCTCGGGTACCCGTTTGTCTCCAGAGCCACTTTAGATACTCTTCTTGTCACCCCCTAAACAGCTGATTTGTGTTAAGCTTCAAACTCTTGGGCCAGGGAGATGGCTCAGTAGAATAAGCGCTTCCCTGGCAAGCGCAAGGGTCCGAGTTCAAACCCCGGTTCCGCCAAAAAAAAAACAAAAAAAACTCTATGGTATTTTGTCAAGGCCGCCTAAGCATGCTCACAGTTTGTTTCTCACTTATTTTTGTTTCCTTTTGTTTTTCATACTAACAAAATGTCCGAAATCAGCAGTCTCCAAACTTTTCAGCTCCAGGGACCAGCTTTATGGCAGACAATTTTTCCGTGGATGGAAAGAAGTTTTAGAGATAACTCAAGCACGGTTACTGTTCACTTTATTTCTGCTATTATTCTGTAACATATAACAAATTATAAGCTGCACACCATGCAGGCCCAGTGGAGGCCCTGAGCTTTTCCCTGTAACTAGTCATCCCAAGTCAGGGCCACAGAGACAGCGATGCCCAGAGGGTGTTCCTTATATCTAGTCTACTCTTTTTTTAAAGTTTTTTTTCTGTTTGTTTGTTTGTTTTGCAGTGCCAGGGATTGAACTCAGGACCTTGCGCTTGCCAGGCAAGTACGCATGCGGCTGAACCATGTCCTCAACCCTCCAGTCTACTCTTGAACTTCATCTTGGGAGGTATCCCTGCAGAAACCCTTGTCGAACAATGACAGGATGCTGGAAATGGAAGCAAGCTCCTCTGTGTTCTTCGTGACAACCCCAAAACCCTTCACTCTGAGTCAAGAATGTACGAACTTGAACTCTGCTCTCATACATGCTTTTAAGGCCACTACTTTTAATGGTCTTAAGCAGCTGACTCCCCTCTACCACAAAGTCAGCTCACCCAATTTATTTTACAAACAGGGGCAGGTGGCCAGATAGCTCAGTGGAGTAAAGCGCCTGCTCAGGCAGACACAGGGGCCTGGGGTTTGATCCTCAGCCTGCTGTGCCAGCCCTGCCCCCAGGGCATGCTGAGATTGGGTGTGGTGTCATGGGCCTGTAATCCCAGCACTTGGGAGGCGGAAATCAGGAGGATCATTACAAGTCTGATCTGTGTGGTGAGACCCTGGAGACCCTGTCCTAAATATATAAAAAATAAATAAATGAGTATTTTTTTAAAAGGGTCAAGGACCCATGCCTTCCCACTCAGGAGTCTTCTGTGGTTAGGAAGTACTATTTACACTCTTGACAGCCAAGATAAATGATTATGCACCAACTCCACCAGTGTTTTCCAAAATCTCTGTTCAAAATGTGTCAAAAAATCTCAGTGTTCACCCATCTACAACTGCACTTAGCTCTGAATGCAGCCACTTTATCTGCCAACTTGAACAGTTTCCACTCTGCCCCTAAGTGACAGGTGGACATCACTGAGCAAGCCCAGTACATCCCACTCATAGGCAAGCATCCCATGTCACTAAAATGTGCTACCGGTGGTGATTTTATTTCTAAAGGAAATCTCTGGAGTGGCTCTTATAACTCAAAACTCCAACCAGTGATCTACTTTCAGAAAACCAACTCACTTTTGTGGATTAGAGAAGTTTTGTGCTCTGCACCCATCTCCTCAGAGTTCAGAAAGACAGGAATGAAGAATGCATACTTCAGTGTGGCTGGTAAGTTTAACCACACCCTCCAAAACAAAGGTGACACTTTCAGCTAGGGAGCATTCTCTACGGAAGACAGTGTGTAGACACACATGCAGAAGCAGCCTCTTTGACCCCAGTAATAAAACTAGAACCCTGTCCAGCCATGGCAGCCACTTCACCCATGCAAGGACCAACACAAGATGATCAGCTCAGCTCTACTGAAATGTAATCATTCCAGGGCCAGGGAGATAGCTCAGCAGCATAAGTGCCTGCCTAGTAAGCGCAAAGTCCTGAGTTTGATCCCAGGTACCAAAAAAGAATTACTGAAAGTTTTGTAGCTGCTGGTAATACAAGTGTTTGTTGGTAATAAGAGTGCACATATCTTCATGCACATTCTCATGAAAAATGTCACACAAAACCAAGCATGGCTGCCTGTTGTCAACACCAATAGCCTTAGAAGCCTGGATTACATAACAGTGCCTCACTAATACCCTGTAACAATTGGGCCACAATATCCTCTGCTATTGATCAACTTCTCCAGTCATGGTACTAGCTAAGAGGGACCGTCTGCTGAACTGCAGCCTCTCCCAATCGCACACACCAAATATCCTTCACATTGGAGAATGTGAATCATCTGTGGCCATGAACCTATAATTCATGTAGGACTCGTGGCATTTTCTTTCAAATGCAGCTTTTGGTTGGCAGTCTTCAGAGTCACCTATCTCATTTGTTGGCCTTTTGAAAAAGGTTCCAGTGACATTTTCTCTTTACTCGTTTTAGCGCCAGTTAGCCTGTGAGCTTGGCAAATCTGTCACTGAGGTATGTACAGTTTGGAAAAGTAACCCAGAAAAGGTAAACACAATAATGGGCTCCTCATATACAGAGTAAAACAGGTGTCATAGTCTCACTTAGAGCCACTCTCTCAAAATAAAAATTTAAAAAATTAAAGAGATTGAGTTATAGCTCAGTGGAAAGGTCACATTAAATCTCCAGTACAAAAGAAAAAAACTCTTTCATTAATCCACAATTACCATTGCAGAAAAAAAGAACTTAATTTTTTATTTATTTTCTGTATTTTAGGGAAGGGTCTACAGGGTGTTCAGGGTGTATTAGATCAGACTCATAGTGATCCACCTGTTTATAGCCTCCCAAGAGCTGGGATTACAGTCGCTCAGGGTCAATTGCCATCTCAGCACACCCTGGGGGTGGGGCCGGCACGGCAGGGGATCAGACCCCAGCTCCTGCCCAGCCCCTGCTCCTGCTTGCAGGCATTTTAATCCGCTATTGTTGTTGTTAACTTTTTTTCTCAAGAACGAAGTTTTTAAAACATTTTTATAATTGTTTTTAATTCCTTAATGGAAGAAAACCTTTAAAGTTTCTAAATGAATATAGAATGTATCTTCATGTAACAATAAGCATCAAATAAATACTGGATATACAAAATTATGTTTACGTGGTGGCACACCACCAGAAAACTGAGGGGGATGGAAGTGCTACCTGATTTAGTCCAATTGTTCAATTATCAGAGCAGTAAAAAAAAGGAAAATGATGAGAAATTCTAAAAATTATAGAAATTACAAAAAGGGTTAGTTGGCCTTCTGCGGTTCCTTTCAGCAGGATGGTTCTTAACTTTCTTTTTTATGTTACTCAAGAGTCTCCCCCCACCACCATCACTAATTCCCTAACAAAATTCCAGGAGTGCCGAAGACTGAGCCGGAAGAGCTACTTTCGCGAAGCCCACTGCCTTAGCCGGAGCAGGACAAGGGTGGCGACAGGGGCGAGCCAAGGCTTCTGCGGAGCGCGGAGCCAGGGCGGGCGGGCGCTCCCACGGGCTGGTGGGCGTTCCCACGAGCGGGCCGCCGCTCCCACGGGCGGGCCGACGTTCCCACGGGTGGGCGTTCCCACGGGTGGGCCGGCGCTCCCACGGGGAAGTCACGAACTAAGTGCCCGGATGACACCGGCAACGCGCGGCTCACCCCCACAGAAACTCCTGGTGAATGAAAAAACAAACGTTTTAAACTAAAAGAGGTCGCTGCACTGAACCTTAAGGGCGCAGGCACCCGCGCTGACAGGAGAGCAGGGCCGGCTGCGCGCCCCCAGGCCCCGAGACCAACGTCGCGCGCAGTGACGCCGCGGCGCGAGACCTCCGAGGCCAGAAAGCAAAGCTGTTAAAACGATACGGACACCCAGCCGGAGCTTCAGAAGCGCGCGCCACGGCACTCCGCTGGGAGGCGCAGCCGACGCCATTACTCAGTACGCGCCATCCCGGCATCCTCTGCGCCTCGCACAGGACGTCGGGGCATCCAGGCCCCTCCAGCCGCCGTAGCCGGCGTTGCTATGGAAACCCAGCTACCGCGGCGATGTCGCTGCCGCTGGCCCCTCCATCGCGGGTGTTCGTGGAGCTGGTGCCCTGGGCGGATGGAGGCCGGGAGCAGGGCCTGGTCGCCGGCGGGGAGGCGCTGCCCGCCGCCCGCCGCGCCCTCTCCGCCGCCGCGGCCCACACCGGGCCGCGCGAGGTGCACGTCTGCGGCTCCGCGGCAGTGTCCGCGCGGCCCGACCGGGCGCAGGTGGTCGTGCGGGTGAGCAGCACCAAGGAGGCGGCGGCCGAGGCGCAGAGGAGCGTGGTCCGCCGCCTGGACTACGTAGCGCAGAGCCTGCGGCAGCGGGGCGTGCAGGTGGGCGCGGGCGGCGGCGACGGGCGGGAGGCTGCGACGGGCGGGCGGTCGGGCCTGGGATGCGGACCTGGAATGCGGGCCTGGGGGGCGCGGGGGGGGGAGGGACGCGGGGTGGTGCGGGACTGGGAGGTGGGCCTGGGAGGCGGGCCTGCGGGGCGCGCGGGGGAGGGGCCTGCGGGAAGCCCCTGGGTGAGCTCAGGGGTTCTGGTGTCTTCTGTGTGTACTAAAGAGGGCCAAACTCGCTTCGCGGAATCTTCAAGGGATGGCGATGGGCCGTGTAACAATTGTTGAGTACCCATGATCTTTTTTAATTGGGTATTGGTTCCAATATCTATCATTTTTATTGTCTTTAAAATACAAATGCTGTGCTGTCTCTCGGGTACATGCTTGTTCAAAAAGAAGGGGGTGGTGAATGAAGGCAGGAGACAGGAAAAGGAATGTTGCGGGAGTGTCCTGCTTCAAGGTTGTATATGATTAGATTTTTGGACTTAACCAGTAAACATAAGAATTATATAATTCTTTATGCCTATTTTTAAAATATATTTTAATTTTTTAAATGTTTTTTGTCATATTTTGTAGGGACTTAAAGTTCAACATATCAATACTTGATGAAAAATACCTGTTCCATGTTATGCCTAAGATGTTTGATATTCAGACAAATAGTGAGGTTAAGCTTAACTGCCTACCTTGTATGGTAATAACAATAAGCTTCTCTTGTGGAGGGTTAACAACCTAAGTTTGCAGACCAAAATTAGAGAAAAAGGAGGGCCGCAAGGAAGGCCAACATTTTGGCCCTAGTCTTCCAATGTCAATTAAGACTCAGGACATATGAGAACTTGTACTGTAATGTCATGTAACTCGGTAGCGTCCCAAATTTTCTGATCAAGAAGATTATGGGGCCAAAGAGGAAAGTGATCGATGATGTAGAGTGTGCCTGGGGAGAGTCACATGGGGAGAAGACATTCTCTCAGGCTTTCACAGAGAGCACATTGGCCAAGCAGTGGCCGTGACTCATCTACATGGCTGACACTGACAAAGGATCCACAATCCAAGGTAGAGAATCTCAGGATAAATCCTGAGGGGTTTTCACTGACCTTATCAGATCCAAAAGCTACAACTTTTGTTGCATAGGTCTTGCTTTACCTTGGTGTTAACCATCCATCAGAAAAGTATGAAAACGAAGTTTAAGAAGTAAAGCCATGATGTTATGCTGAGCTGTAGGGGACTCAGGTCAACAATTTCTGACATTGCCAGTGAAGCGGAAGACCCAATACTATTATGGACTACTGGACTCTTTTAGAATATTTTGCTGAGTTAACACACCTATAATATTCAAATAACGGAACTAAACAAAAAAGGGTATACAGATGAATGTCCATTTTGTATCTGTGTATTCAAAATGGGTAGGATAGATATAAAGTTACATTCTCTTAATGAATAGAGGGATTTGTTCTAATAGTGTTTGTGGATAGGATATCATGTCTGTATCTTGTACAGCAAATAACCACTAGGAAGAGAGTATGCAATGTGTTAATTATTGGAACTGTCCTACCAATTTGATTTGAAACTATCTCATTGCTATTTGTTTCTCAATAAAATTACGGGAAAAATTATATATATATATGTAAATTAGGGGCGGTGGAGATAGCTCAGTAGAATAAGTAATTGCCTGGCAAGTGCAGGGTCCTGAGTTCAATCCCCAGTACCATAAATAAATAAATAAATAAATAATAAATTAAATATAAATTTAAGAAGTAACCTGTTGCAACAACAGAAAACAACTGAAAGAAATTGTCATGGGAAAACCGCGACCCACCTGCTCCCGGCCAAATCAGGCTTCTCGTGCAATGCAAAAGCCAGTATATTGTGACTGGCACATACCTCTAGTTAGGAGACAACCGAATAAATCTCACTTTACATCTAAGCAAAGGAGAAAAGAACCACCCATTTGGACCCACACAACCACCCAGGTAGACGTATTTGCTGTACCCATTTTCCAGTCTGAAGGAAGTTAAGTAATGCGCTAAACTTTTAAGGGGGCTGTATTTGAACTGATTTGTTTCCCGTATCCAAAATCAAGGCCAGGCTCAGGGTAATCAGGAATGATCCTAAAGACCAGAGTACAATTTACGAGGGGAGATACTAAATTGAAATGGTGCGGAAGTTTTGTTTCTGGTCTATTCTTGGAAAAGCTAGGATCCTTAAAGCAAGTCTTTATTTTAACATATATATATATATATATATATATATATATGTATATATATTGCATTTACAAAGTTATTAAAGTCACTTGGAAAAGTTTTCCCCAAGTGAGTTTATGTCTTAGATTCAAACACTAGTTGTAAATGATATGAATCACGTGAGTTTAATCTGTAGAAAAATATTTCATAAAAACCTTTCTGCTTTACTGCAGTCCTATCTGAAAAGTGTAAGTAGCTCTTAAGTCCCTCACAGAAATGTGACCCGAGCTCATGTAGCTCTGCCCTCTCTGTAAAACAAAATAAATTACTAATTCTACTTTATACTAATTCCATTAAATCTGTCATGCTTAAGGCAAAAGAAAGGAAAAATTGTAATCTTCCACTTCTCTCTGTTAAGGGAGAAAAGCAGTCATGAAGGTAATCTGGTCAGTTGCTATAAAATCATTTACGTTGTTTTTTCAGGATGAATTATGGGTCGTCAGGAAGCCCCTATTTATTTTAAGCTTGAGAATATTGTTAGTAATATTTATAAGCATCATTCCCCGGTTTCAGAGGGCTCCCTACAATCTCAGGTTAGTCTCACTTTAGGAGCCAGGCCAGTCACTTCCTGGCTTTCGGTCCTCAGAGTAGTCCTCGCCCCATAGCTTCTCGCCTCCTGGTGTAGTTCTTGATTTACTGCTTTCTACTCCGTCTTTTAAACCTCTCCAGAGCACAAACCGTTTGTCTTTTTTTGCACTCAAGGGTTATGTTCCTACTCATCATGTAATTTATACCCCCAAAGTTTTTAATAAAAAAGAGCAAACTACAAAAATAAGCTATAATGCAGCTATATTATAGATCGTAGACTTATGGCATGGGTGAAGCTTATAAATCCTGCCCTTTTAGCATTATTTTACTGGAAAATGTTTTAGCTCAGCAGTCCTTTTTGTATGAGTCTAATATTTATGTGCAAAAAAGAATGACACATATCTTAGACAAAAGTGTTCAAAACAGATAATAGATCTAAACACAAATGTGGAGCAAAGGGCATCTGTTACTATCAGAATCAAAGGCTGACCACTTTACACACTGCATTGTGGTATCAGAGTCACCAGAAAACACAACTCAGTCAAGGTGTGGAGGAAGCAACCCATTACTAATGCGAAGAAGAGGCGGCAGACTCACCCGCAGAAGCAAGTGTCCCTTGCCCGCAGAAGCAGGTGTCCCTCGCCCGTGGAAGCAAGTGTCCCTCGCCCACGGAAGCAGGTGTCCCTCGCCTGCAGAAGCAGTTGTCGGTCCATCACGATGGGCTGATTTCTTGGTAGCCATTACAGGACAGTTGGCCCCCACATATCTCTTGTGCTATTCCCTGTGGGGAAGGGCCAGCTCTAGCAGTGCGGAGTGGCCTGGTAGCATGTGATACACACCCTTTAGCAAAACAGAGGTGTTCCCTGTGTCTGAAGTGGGAGGTAAAGATAACCCCAAGCAGCACAACAAAGCCAGTACAAGCTGTGAGGTTGCTTTATTCCTTGGCAGGGAAGTGTTGGGGGCCACACAAGCGGTGGCCCAGACACAGAACAATAGTAACATGGTAAGGGCTGGTGAGATTTCAGAGTGACACATCTGCTGTGGCATACAGCTTTACGATTTCTCTTAAAGTTAAATATTAACTTATAGACATCCAGCATTCCTGGGTAATTTACCGCAAGAAATTAAAAACTACATGTAAAATTAAGACAGGTGTCAGCTGAGAAATGGATAAACAGACCAGTATGTGCATGGAAAAAAATACTGTCCATCGTTAAAGGTACAGAAATTAATTCACCAGGAATAGACAGCGTGCTTCTTACGTGCACCTTGCGAAATTAAAAAAAAAAACAGACCGAAAAGGCTTATGTTCTCGATTCTGTGACTTTCTGGAAAAGGCAAAGCTGGAGATAGCAGTCAGCGGAGTGGTCAGCCGGACTGTTGGCCGGAAACAGCTGAGCAGAGAGGGAAAGAGCAGACCCTCTGAGGTCGAAGAACTACGGTGTGATGGACACGTAACTCGTGCGTTGTCAAAATCACGGAGTTGTGTGTAACAAAGAGTCATTAAGAGAAGCAAGCTGGGAAAAAGGACATCCTCAGGCCGGGCGCCCCCTCCCCGGCCCCCCGACCCTGGCCCACAGCCCGCGGCGGGATCCAGGCTGGAGGCAGAGCCTGAGGAGCGCAGCTGAGTGCCCTAACTGCGGAAGGTGGGGCGGGAAGAAGGCGGGCCTGAAAGGTTTCTCTGCCTGGAAGTTGGACGCTAAGCATAAGGTGAAATGCACATAAGCCGAGTTACCTGGTTAGTAAATCTCTTTCCGCGGGAGAGCTAGTGAACAGTTCTAAAACTGCTTTATCTGTGCAGTATACAAGCAAGTGGGTGGTAGGTGGTAGGAGCCGGGCTTCTTCAGGTTGGAGCTGGAAGTTACAGACAAGAAGGGAAGGGAAGATGGGCTCTGTGGGAGCTCATGGAGTGGAAAGCCACAGACGTGGTCATAGCTGTGTGGCTGTCCTGCTGTCCCCGAGAGGGCCTGGAGGGAAGGCAGTCGCGGAGCGTCGCCTTGTTTGTACATTCAGTAGCATTACAAGGTAAAATGGCCTTCACAAGAAGTTCAGCGCTGTAATCTGTGAGCGCGTCTGCACACTGGTCTGGATAGTTTTACATGGGTCACTGTTTTAGAAAATGCTTTCTCAAAGGTGAGGTAGAGGCATCCAGGCTACTGTTCTAGAAGCAAATTAACCGAGGTGCCATGTTCTTGAAAAACGCTTTCTAAAATATCAGCACCGGTGAGGTTTGAGAATGTTACTACATTTTTTCTTTTCGCTAGCATTAGATTTTCTTTAGTATGTGTTGTATGTATTGTGTATGTATGTTTCGAGTAAAATACGTGTTTAAAGTAAGGGATTCTTTTCCTTCCAATTGTCCTTCCTAAAATTATTTTGATAGTAATTTTTAGTCAGAAGTCTCTGTTTTAAATGAAGTATAGGGGAAAGATATCCAAAACTGAAAAGATACATTTACGTGTCATCAAAGAATATTAAGTAATAGAAAAATTACATATTAAGTGAAAAAGCTGGTTCTGAGCGATATACTGTATGCAGTATTTTTATATACTTGTGGTACTCTTAATTTTTCTACAGTGAACAGATACTACCTTTGTAACAAGAAAAATTGCAGTAAAATAGAAGTGACAAGTAGCAGAGCTATAATTGGAACATGAGTTCCTCTACCCAGAGCAGCTTAGGATTCTTCTGGGTAACACAAAATGCATGTATCGTGAACCTCAGGTGCAGCCATTTTCCTTACAAAATAGCTTCCTAAATTATTAATTGGTACAAAAGTCGCATTTATTTTGAAAGATACAAAATGATATAAATGTTTTGAGCATCACCAACGACGAAAGTAGCTCATGAATGTTTTGAGCATCGCCAACGACGAAAGTAGCTCATGAATTCATTTCACTTAATTTAAAAATAAATAAGAAAGTTAACTTTTCATCAGAATTGTGTGCGCCGCTTCCCCAGAGTCAGAAAGCCTTCATTCTGCTCTTCTGCGGACTCTGGTGGCACTGCAGGAAACATTGCTTGTAACACTATAGCAGCAGCTTTTGTACCTTTTACATTGAGCACTTTACACATAGCTTCTCACTAAGCCCTTCACACTTCGTAATAGTATACAACAAATCAGCTTGATTTTATAACTCAATCAGATTACTTTTCCCAAATTATTTAGAAATTAGAAATTGTTTAAATGAAAAGTCCTCTAACATTAAATACACATTATATACGAGCAGTTCTTCATCTGTGCGCTATACCTAGGAGGGACTGCATCTAGTAGCCTGACACTTGTAACCATAGTCTTGTTCCTTCTATTTCAGGAAGAAAATATAATTGTAACGAAGGATTTCAGAAGAGTGGAAAATGCTTATCACATGGAGGCGGAGGTGGGTACTTTCCAGGTAATAGGTAACAGCCCAGCGTTGGAGGTGCAGCTTGTCGTTCAGTTTTAATCTTGAACCGTAACATATTAGAGGAGTCATTCTAATAGTATTGATAAAAGATTACTTTAAAGTCATTTTAGGGGATGGCAGGATAGCTCTGCAAACTAAGTGCCTGCTTAGGCAAGCCCAGGGACCACATGCTGTGCTGGCCCCACCCCCCTGAGCCAGCCACCAGGCCTGGCTGTGGTGGTGCACACCTGTAATCCCAGCGCTGGGGAGGCTGAAAACAAGAGGGTGACTAGGAGTCCAACCTGCGTAGGGAGACCCTGTACCAAATACATTTTTAAAAATGTTTTTTTTTTTCTTTTGATGTTATATTTCTGGTGATTTAAAATAATTTTAATAAGATTTATTTAAAAGAAATTGTTTAAAATGAATTAAAAGTAACAATGGTGACACAGCATCTAACTACACCCTGAATAAACTTTTAATAATAATATTGCCTACTATCCAGGAGATACTATAGGACAGACTTCTGTTAGATGAAAAGTAAATTAATAGGGCCAGGGATATTACTCAGCAGCAAGCGCCTGCCTGGAGAGCGCAAGCTCCTGAGTTCAATTCTCAGTACCCAAAACAAGTAAAGCAAATGAATAAAGTCACAGCAAAAGGATTGAAACACTTTAAATTTCTTTTGTTCCATAGTACATTTTTACTGTGTTGTGATAAGGATTACTTTAAAATAACAATCTTTAACCTTCACACAAGTTAGAAAGGTACTCATGAGCATTCTCAGTTAAAAAAAAAAATTCTTTTTTTTTATACATAAAATTTTTATTTAGAAATTCACTAATTCAATAAGAATGATGAAAGCAAATGTTAGAATGCAAGCACACCACAAACAAATGCACAAACAACTCTTCCTAAATCTTTTTTTGAGATATTACTATTAAGTAATCATGTATCATTTCATACAATAAATATCTATTTTGAATTTTTCAAAGGATTATGCATGTCTGAACTTTGACAGCAGTTATACCAATATTTCTATGTTTCTGTGTGTGTCATAACTAGTTCCCATGCAGAAGAGGCTATCAATTTGTACCTTAGTTATAACATAGTTCATCCATTAAGTTGCACCTATTTTAAGAAAGGAATATCAAAAACACACTTTATCTATAAAGGAAACCATTTATCATTACTTCTCATTAATTAATGCAATAATGTGAAACTTGCCACAAAATCATAGAGCATTTCCCTAATAATTGTAGCTTCTAATCTACATAGAATGCTTTATTTCATCCAAAGCATCATGAATAAAATTCATATATACTTATACGTCTAACAGGAAAAAAATTATAACATATACCACGATTTTTAGCCAGGGAACAAATGAAGCAAAGAAAAAGAGAAAATCAAATTTTTTCACAGATGAGTAATGAAAAGCATGTATAATGACACTCCTGATTATATGAGAATAACCAGGAGACCATTCTTTTTTTTTTTTTCAAAATTTTATTGATAAACAAATAGCAATGAGACAGTTTCAAATCAATTCGGAAGTACAGATTCAACAAATAACACACTGCATATATTCTTCTTAGTGGTTAATTGCTGTACAAGATGCAAACTTGAGATCCTATTTACAAACACCATTAGAACAAATCATTCTATTCATTAAGAGAATGCAACTATATATCTATCCTAACCACTTTGAATACACAGATACAAAATGGACATTCATCTATATACCCCATTTTTTCTAAGTTCCGTTATTGAATATTATAGGTGTGTAAACTCAGCAAAATATTCTAAAAGAGTCCAGTAGCCCATAATAGCATTGGGTCTTCTGTTCAACTGGCAATGTCAGAAATTATTGACCTGAGTCCCCCACAGCTCAACATAACAGCATGGCTTTACTTCCTATATTTCATCTTCATACTTTTCTACTGGATGGTTAAGACTATAACTTACATTCTACGTCTGCCTGTATTTTTTTCTGCCTTTAAAGATCTGGTGATCAAGATTCTGTGAAATCAGAGTACGCGGTAGTGCTAGTTTAGACACTGCCATCTGCTTTATATTTCAGAGCATGTGCTTGGTTTATGCTACCTCCTTGTCTTAGGAAGCAAAGACTGGGACTAGTGTGCAGTTCTGTTGGTCTAGTGGTGGAGTCTTTGTCTCTGGAGGCAGAAAATGCCTCAGAAAATTGCCTGCCCTGTGTGCTGACAGATCTGTGTTACATTTCCGTATTTCAGTATGAGTTTCAGATCACTTAGACCTAGAATCAGAATGAAAATTAATACCCTGCCATCTTATCGCTTTAATTCCAACAGCATTCTGTCCATTGCCCGAATGCTTACTTTAACTGTTTGTGACTTCTCCTTTAAAATTTAATCATCTCAGGCTGGTGAGATAGCCGAGTGGTCTAAAGCACCTGCTTAGGCAAGCCTAGGTAAAGTGCAGGGACCATGGTTCAATCCCCAGCACCATATGCCTCTCCAGCTCTGCCCCTAGGGTGGGCTGAGCCAGCCACATGCACAGAATAAATAAACTTTAAAAAAAAAAAAATTAATCCTCTCAAGATTAATTTCTTCATTATGATTTTGGAGCTCGATTTGACAAAAGTTACCTTACTTGTGGGACTGAAAGATACCTTCCAGTCAGAGGAAGACCAATCAGGTGGGATTCCAAATTGTAGAAAGCTGGGGGCATGCTGTGGTGTTTCCCCAGCAGCTGTCATCTGCTAGGACTTTGGGCCACTGTGAACACCGATCAGACATGGTCATTGTAGTTAGTGAGGTAAACTATGAAGGTACGCCCGGGACTGAGGAGGGAAAGGAAACAGCCCCGGAGTTACACAACCAGCCGCCATGCAGCAGCTGGGTGTCAGACCTGAATAGGAGACTAAGCTTCCAAGCACAGGGAGAGAAAGCGGGCTTTAGAGTGGCTTGGCTCAGGGGGTTGTTGTTCTTTAGGACAGGGTCTCACTGTGTAGTCCAGGCTGGCCTTGAACTCACTATGTAGCCCATGCTGCCTTCACACTTGGAAGGATCCTCCTGCCTCAGCCTCCTCAGTGCTGGGATTGCTGGTGTGCGTCACCATGCCCAGGAAGAGTTGCTTGTCCTAAGACATGATTGAGAGTGTAGCTGAACCCTCCTCCTCTTCCTTCTGCTTTACTTGCCTTTTTAATGTTTTCTATTAAAATTTCTTGAGAAAATCTGATTATATTTTTATAGAGGGCTCCCTGCCAGCAGAGCTCACATTATACTAAGTAGCCCAGTTCGTATTTAGCTTTAGATCAGTGGAGACAAGGGAGGTGGGATCCCAGGGCACAAAGTGCGCCCACCTATGTGTGAAGAGCAGCATGTAGTGTTACACGATGGATTCGGCACACACGAAACCTCTGGTGTAGTGTGTACTGCTGTTCTCATGGATTGTTGGATATGTGGAATAAGATTGGATAGTAGGGAAAGTTCTATAATTAACTAGAAAAACCTGGATTCTAAAATGGTCGGTAGTGCTACCTGCCTGTCACCCCAGCACTCGGGAGGCAGAGGCAGGAGGTTCTCAAGTGCCAGCCTACCCTGGGCACCTTAGCAACACAAGAGACACTGCCTCAAAATAAATGTGAGAAGGACTGGAGATGTAGCTCAGGGCAAAGACCTTGGATTCCTAAAAGGAGCCCAGAGGCTTAGATAAACATTTATCCAGGGGCTGGGGAGATAGCTCAGTGGAATAAGCGCCTTCCTGGCAAGCACAGGGTCCTGAGTTCAATCCCCACTACCACAAAAAAAATTAGCCAACCAAGACCTACAAGGCAGATGGCCTCTGCTGTAGCGCAGGTGCTCAGCACCTCCAACTGCCAGAAACACACAAAACCACGTGCATAGTGGCCTCGGACCCATTAGAGTGCCGTTACTGGAAGACCAAGGATGATTCAGTGAGGACACGGAGACCTGCACTCCCTTGAGCACCCCTGGTGGGGTGTACAGTGGCATACCCACCCAGAGAACGATGCGGGGTTCCCTTAAGGAATGTGGGTGCTCCTGCTGTGTGGTCCACAAATTCCACTGTGGGGTGTCTGTCCGAGCGAATTGACATCAAGATGTGGAACAGATGTCCGTGGTCCACCTGGCCTGCAGAGGGTACGGTCTCCATTTACAGCCCATGCCCGAGACTGGACACAGCACCAGCCCTGTCTGCGCTGTTTTCCCACGTGCTCTGCAGCCAGAACTAACCGGTCCTCCTGCTGTCTGTGCCCTGTGTCCTCTGTGCATTACTGCAAGGTAAAGGTTACCAAGTGAAAATTAGCCAGCATGTCACGAGGTGATCACGTTCGAAGCTGGACAGAGAGTGCCTGAGGGTTCTCTATACCGTTGGCTCGATTTGTATGCTTGCAGCTTTCCATTGTAACTTTTAAAGGAAACTTCCAGTGGAAGATGTCCGCAGGATTCATAGAAACCCAAATGCTGTATGCTCAGCAGTAAAGACAGGAGGATGGAGTGGGAGCAGAAACCCGAGGGAAGCCTGCTCAAGGAGCACCCTGCAAATAAAGTCTCGGGCACAAAGGAGCCAGGGTGGGAGGACAGGTGACAGATGGCGTGAAGTGCTGGCAGGGAGAGCATAGGTGAGGTAGGGTAAGAGATTGTTGGTGACCTCTTAGAGTAACAAATACAAGGACAGGTGAAAGAGTACAGGAGAAACGGCAACGAGGAGAGACAGGACGGGCTGGTCGTTAAGACAGTGCCCTCCGCAGGAGCACCAGGAGGCCTGCAGTCAGAAGGTGGAGACCTGCGCACGAAAGAGAACGGCGTGCGCTGGGGCGTTCCAGGCTTTCACACTCTAACTGGAGTTGCAGCTGCTTCTTGTGCCTACTGCTATGACCAGGACTTAATTTTGAAGCCAAGGGAAGGTGAGTCTGTCGTGGATCCATTTACAGCTGGAGTCATGGTTTCCCAGTGCACATGGTGCCATCTTTTCACCTCCTACTGTTGCCCTAGGACCTGTCCTGTCTTATTTTCCATCATTGAGCCTTAGAAGAAAGGTTTAGACACCTTCCATAAACGCTAAAAAAGCTGAGGTATTGAAAAAGCTGGCTCCTGCATGCTTAAGGCCAGAGGACATAGTGAAATAGACAAACTTGGGCATCAGGTCTAGGGTGACTATAGAAAGAGAGGCAGCTCAGCGACAGCAGTGAGGTCTGCTGCCAGGAATCTGACAGCAGAAGCCAGACGAAGGAAGCTGTGCAAAAGCTAGCTTAGACTCTAGTCCAGCAGTGAAGCAGAAGAGGAACTCTGCCAATTGCAGGAAAATTAGACATTAATAAATTTAAGGTGATTTAAAATTAATTTTAAAGGCTCAAGTCAGAGCTCCCTAAATTTCAAAACTTAGAAGCAAAACTCGAAGTTCCGTGCCAACATAGCTCAGGTACAAGTATGCCAGAGCCTGCCTTCCCTACTACTCACTGTAAGAGGGCCTTGTCGCCTGGTTTACTTTTTTACTCATATTTAAAGAAAATTCTGAAGTGACGTACCAGACATGAAAATAATACAAGATAATGAGGGTAGGTGTCATTTTATTTACAGGTCTGCATTACCTTTACCGAATTTGGAAAAATGCAAAACATTTGTAATTTTCTTGTTGAAAAACTGGACAGCTCTGTCGTGGTCAGCCCACCCCAGTTCTATCACGCTGCAGGCGCCGTGGAAAATCTTCGGTAAGCTAAGCACGTCTCTAACCCCGTTACTGATTTCTCACAACCGTTCGGTGCTACAGCCCACCGGACGCGCACTAATGCTCTCGGCGTTTTCTCCCAAGGCGGCAAGCCTGCCTGGCAGCTGTACAGAATGCCTGGCGCAAAGCTCAAGACGTCTGTAGCCTTGTGGGCCAAACCCTGGGAAAGCCGTTACTGATCAAAGAAGAAGAAACGAAAGACTGGGAAGGCCACCCGGAAGATTGCCAGCCCCCCAAACTCTCGGGCTCACTGACGGTACAAGAAAAAATCAAAAGTACAACAATACATGCTACTTCGAAAGTATTTACAACTTTTGAGGTGAAGGGGAAAGAAAAGAGAAAAAAGTATCTCTGAAATCCAGCCACAGTGTGTTGTGTCTATGCCTTTTTGTCTACTTTTATACTTTATGTAATGTTTCCTTCTGTCCTGAAGGGACACATGTATATATGTATGTATAACAGCAGATAAGCTGTCGCTGCAAGGCATGCTGGCTCTTAAGTTCAGTCCCACAGAAATCATAGGTTCACTTTGTTCCTATTTTCAAAATCTTACACTAGAAACACTCTTGAGAAATAAATATGTCACATGTGGACCTTGCATCCTAGCATTCCATATGGCTCTATGTGTAATATTTTCATTATAGAAGGAAACATTAGCCCTTTTGTACTAATAAAAGGAATTTGATGTTCCATTGAAGTTCCTGTATCTCAGTGTAAGTCGGAGATTTCATTGTAGCCAGCTTACACACTAGGAGGTTAATCTTTCTCGGATGCTAGCAGAAGACTGAAATTCTGGGACAGACCCGAAGCAGCGTGGTGTGTAGCACAGCCAAGAGTGTGAGGTCCACGTGTTGTCATCGGCACATTCCGTGGGGCAACAATATGCCGTACACAGCGTGGCTACACGTGGGGAGGGGCGTTTCCGTGGGAACCAGTGCCTACTGAGCTTGAAATAGTCACTGTGTTTGTCTTTCCCCAGTACTGAGGCTTGAACCTAGGGCTTTTGTACTGAGCCACATCCCCGCTGTTCCATTTTTTGAGACAGGGTCTTCCTAAATCCCTGAATTACCACAGTGGGCTCAAACTTTGATTCTCCTGCCCAGCCTCACAAAGAGAGAATTGTTGCTTTTTATCATGAACAGAAGCTATTCCGTTTCTGTCTAGATGTACCCCCCGAGTCTCCTGCAGTCATGAGGGGGGTGTGCTTCTCAGAGATGGCTGGATCTACAAGGAATTGATTTGTAGTCAGTGTGGGGGCTGAAGGTGGTGGGATTGAGGGTGAGTGACTGCTGGACAGCCCATTGGTTGGACTGGCACCACCCTAAACCCAGCCAACTGGATACAGGGGATACAAGGGACGGAGAGACGCTCTGTTCTCCCCGTTGCCATTGCTGTCTGCCACCACTGTAAACCGTTGCCCTCTGCCATTCACCACCCTGCCTTGGAGCCAGCCAAGGATGGACTGAAGCGTCTACAAACTGAGCTACATGAAATTTTTCCTCTAATTTTGCCGGCTGGGTATTTTGTCTCAGCGACGAGAAAAGAGTAACTAATACAGCATTAAACCTCTTTGTCCTGGAAGCGGACTGCCTCATCCCTCAGAGAGGCTCGGTGCGAGCTCAGCCCTGCTAAATGCCCAGGGCAATGCGTGGGCATGTCTGGTCTCGCCACACCTAGCGAGAGCCGCGCACAGGGGACTGGCTGTCCCAGGGGTGCCATGACTTCCTTCCTGTGCCCACATCATGTTGTAAGGTGTGGGCGGGCCAGCAACGCCAGCTGTTAACAACTTCACAACGTGAAACGCGTGGTAAGCGATGCATAGCCTTGAATGAAAGGCCAGTGAGGTAGACTAGGAAACTTTTGGTGCCAAAAATAAGTCATAGTCCAGGGACTGTGTTCCACAGGGCTTCTTGGACGGTACAGGCACTGCAGTACAAGTGCAGTGCAGGCCGCCTACGTGGTGTGAGGTTTCCTGACGCACACCCGAGAGCCGAACAGAAAGGAGGGTTGAAACTAATTTTTATAACATTTCGCTTAACTGGATATATCTGAAATATTCCACCATATGTTTTTAAATCATTAGTGAGATTTTTTATGTGTTTAAAACAAAATATATGTTACGTTACAGGCCATCTCCATTCACATTTCAGTTGTCAGACCCTTGATCAGTAAGTGGTCCTTGGTCCCACGAACTGTATCCATGAGCAATAGAGTTGAAGAACAGTTCACCCTCCCAAGTTCTCCCAGGCATGCCCAGCAAATGTATCAAGGATCAGTTTTCAAATTCAGTTAAATAAGACAGTTTCTAACTGGCATCGCAGTGCACGCTGCCAGACCTCGCGTCCTTGAGAGCAGACGCGGCCACCTTGTTCAGGGCCTGCTCACAGCCTGAGGTGATGACCCTTCAGAACATTGGAACTGAGCCGGGCAGCATGGTCGCGCTTCCGTTCCTACCGCGCGGGCGTGCCGGGGCTGCCGCGCAGCAGGGCTGTGCCTTCCCGTACGTGCAGCACAGGGTTTCCCTTGGAGGATCTTGCTAGTCATATTCTGCCCTTTCTTTCCACAATGTCATTTTCATTCCTGTCAACTATGCTCCCTAACACTTATGTATCCCCCGTCTCAGAGCAGCTTTGGGGGATGAAGTATGGAAGCTGAGAAGGAACGTTTGATTGTAGCATTGCTATTTTTTTGTTGTTTTGGTTTTTTGAGACAAAGTCTTGCTACATACTTCGGGCTGCCCCTGCACTTACAGCCCAGGCTGACCTTGAACTTGAGGCAGTCCTCCTGCCTCAGCCTCCCGAGTGCTGGGATTATAGGCGTGTGCCTCCATAGCAAGAGTCACTGTTTTTCGAGTCCCCGCCTCGAATGGAAACTCCTTGAGAACCCCCTCCCCCCTCCCCCACCCGGTCAGGGCCGACCCAAGTGTTGATGAGATTCAATCGTAGATGATTTTTCTTACCCATGCTTCATCATGCACTCAGCTCATCATACTTGTCAAAGACGGCTTTCAGCCTAGTGTGAAACACCCAAAAGCAATTTTTTTTCTTAAGTTAACAGGCACTTTTTAAAATTTGTGTAAATTTTTAAAGATGTTGCTTTTTATAAACAAATCCTAGGGCCGGCAAGATAGCTCAGTGGACTAAGCGCCTGCTTAGGCAAGTGCAGGAGCTGGGGTTCAATTCCTGGCAACACATCTGCACTGGCCCTGCCCCCCAGGCGCGCTGAGCAGGCCCCTGAGGCCAGACATGGTGGCACACACCTGTCCTACCAGCTGGGGAGGCTGAAATCAGGGATCACTAAGAGTCCGAGCTGCATAGTGACACCCTGTACCAAATACAATGAAAATAAAATTTAAAAAAAAATCCTGAAACCTGTAGAGTCACTTGTAGAGACTAGGAGAAGAAATCTTTCAGAGGGTGGGCTGGTTTTTCTATGGTATCCAGAATCTTTAAGGTCAGCATTATCAGATTCACTTGTCAGTTGATAACAATTTAATTTTTGAGACATAAAATACACAGGAGTCTCTCAGTTATTTAGGGGCCTTCCTTTAAAAGTCTGCAATAATAAACTTTTTCTAAACCTAGCCTGAGAAAGTTTCTTCCTTTTAAGACCCAGGGGTCGGGGGAGGACTTTCCATAAAGTTTGGAAATATATTTTCCAAAAATTATAATTGCTATTTTCTGATATTTTGTTCCATTTGAAGCAGACCCACTATATTTTAAGCATTTTAAAAAGGAAATGCTATTGAAATAAGGTTTTCAGTGTTACTAATAAAATTGAGGATTTCGTTCAGTTCCAACTTAAAGTTCTTTCAGTGGCTGCAAGTATCTTACTTTGATTAGTATTCTTATTTCGTTGTGTAAGTCCAGTACAAATAAGACCTGAAAAGGTTAGTTTGTGACTCCTGCTGCTGTACTCACACTCGAGAGCTACTGCTGTCCTCAGGAGTAGCCCATGTCTGTCAGGATTTCTGACAAGGCTTTTATAATAAGGAGTCCTAATAGCCTACAAAAATAATGAATTATGAAGGAAAGCTAATATATGATTAATATATTAACATTTATATTACAAATCATTGCAGACATTTCAGTTTAATAGCAAATGCTTTATTATTCATTCTAGAAAAATTGTAGAAGTTATCTTGATTAAAAAATAGTATGAACATTTACTATTGTGCATTTTCTGTTTGCAGCCAATAGCTTTTACTAAAGTGGCCAGAGTTACTTTAAAATATTTAGGTAAGCTGGGTGCGGTGGCATATGCCTGTAATCCCAGCACTTGGGAGGCTGAGTCAGGAGAATCATTGCAAGTTCAAGACCAGACTGTGCTACAAAGTAAGCACAAGGCCAGCCTGAACATAGAGAGACCCTGCCTCAAAACGATCATAAATAAATAAATAAGCAAAGTGTAGGTATCTTAAAAGACTGGGATTGACTGGGATTCGCAGTGGTTCATCCATATATGACATCACACTCGGAGAAAAAACTAGCATCTTTTGAGAAAGGTTATTCTCCCTATTTTATTAGAAAACTGGGCATGTGTTTTGAGCTGCTTACTCAAAGGGCTGCCCAGGTACTCTCCTGGGGCCCCAGCTGCAGTGTCCCAGCCAGCAGTGCCTCTGGTCACCTGCCACGTGCCTGCGGATGGCCCTCAGCTTCATGGCAACACCCACAAAGGCGGCTCTGCAGGCTCAGTGCAAATTGATTCTGTTATAACAGTAGGGAGAAAAGACTAAGCAAAGTCCTATTTTTGGCCACACAGGTTTAAGATTTATCGGGGTTCCCAGGCAGGGCGGCACAAGCCTGAATCCCAGCACTCAGGAAGCTAAGGCAGGAGGATCACTGCGAGTTTGAGACCAGCCTGGGCTATGTAGTGAGCTCAAGGTCAGTCTGAACCACAGACCCTGTCTCAAACAGCCAACAGGGAAAATAAAAACGTTCATTAGGGTCTCATATGATCAGTGTAAAGGACAAAACCCAATGTCAGTGAACCATAAACTGAAAAACAAGAAGTAGAAAGCCCAGATGGCAGGAGAACTTGCTAATCTGGAAGGCTCCTAAAATAAGCTACTGATCCCTGTGGAAAAGAAATCTCCCTCATGCTGTGTTACTTACCATCTGGTCTGGGGGACAGGGCGTGGTATATGTCTTTCAAAAATAGATTCTATCACCTATTCTGCCTCTTCACTTTGAAAAAAAATCTTAGGGTCAAAAATAGGGACCTAATACCAGTACTGCATATGTGCCTCTGCCCTATACGGACCATTCCCCCTGAATTATTTTTCATCTCTCCCTTCACCTGAGCATGCATGCCTGGAGAAGAAGGAGGTGGTGGAAACGTTTATTTCCCCAGTGCCTGGCTGTCAGATATTCCACCGAAGTCCCAAACAACAGCCTGGGCGGCGGAGAACCGACCTGCCATGTGCGGTCCAGGCGCACATTCGGCCGCTCGCCGCTCTCCTCCGTGGCGGAGCTCCTGCAGAGCCTGGCTACGCCGCGCAGGACACTGCACTGGGGTGGAGCAGGGTAGGGAGCCGGCCGGGCTTTGGCGCATGAACGCCTCATCCTCACCACACCGAAGCAAGGGTCGGGGCCGCGGTACCACATGCGTTGTGCCCGCCACCTGGTGACGGTGCGCTAGAACCCGTGCGTGGGGTTCTCCAGCTCTTGCGTGGTCTATGTGCGGCTTGCCC